TATGGTGCTTGCGTAGCGGAGGTACATATGAGTGCAAAACGCTTCCTGTCTTTTCACTAATGTCTAAAATGCAAAGTCCCAGTGCTAAGATGCGCATTGCTTAGTCACAAGGCTGCAACATTTCTAGTTATCCAAAATAGTCTGCGCGTTTAAAATTTCTGAGGCGAAATGACCAAATAGCAGCATTTTTAAAAGGAAATTGCAGTATCCGGGCAATCGCTTTATCTGCTAGACAGGTGTAACTGATAGCACTGCCGTTCTTCAAATGTTTTGAGTTGCTTTGAGTGCGAAGCTCTGTGGAGAACTGCAGTGATTTTGTAGAAATTGATTTGAACAAAGAATCTATGCAAGAAGACCTGCCATAGACTGGCTTAATTGCATTGGCGATACGGCAGTGCAGGGGCGAAGGACGGTTCATTATCATAGCAGTTTCGAAGGCAAAAGTGCACAGCTGGTTTAACTTTTGTGAGATGACAAGAGTAAAGCTTTCCAACTTAACGCACCTCGTTCTTTTAAAATAACAGGTTTGCGCTAGCACCATAGCACCTACATGATGAGTAAGTATCTGTGCAAATTGCCACTTAGGGCCACCGTCGATTTGCGGTGATGAAAAAATCATTGGCGACGTTCACCGGGCTGGCCCGTACGATCATGCATTTTTGCAGTATTTTGCGCCGTAATGAGACCGCTCGAAAACTTAGTGGCTAGAAATATGTAATATACGGGTTCTCGAAGTCTGGGAAGTTAATTGTCTATCCAGTATTTAGGTAGGGTACATTTCGTTGAAATTTCAGCTTTCCTAATTTTCTTCTTGAGTTAACAATTTTCCTGCCAAAAATATTCAGGAGGCCGTACTTGACAACCACGTACGCCCGCGGGCTAAGTTTGATAAATTTAAGCCGTACATGGGCTGGGAACATTCCTTGAAAATTTCAGCCTCCGGGCTTTCCTAATTTTCGACTTAGTCATTTCCGCGCCGAAAAATTTCACGGAGCCGTACGTGAAATTGATAACTTTAAATTGTACTTTTGCTGGGAACATTTCCTGAAAATATCAATCTCCCAGCTTTCTTGGTTGCTGAGTTAGCCACTTTCGCGCCAAAAAAATTCGCGGGGCTATACTTGATAGCTACAGTTGCCGAGGGCTGATTTTGCTAAATTTAAGTTGAACATGTGCTGGAAACATTCCCTGAAAATTTCAGCCTCCCAGTTTTCCTGGTTCCTGAGTTAGCCATTTTCGCGCTAAAAATTTTCACGGAGCCGTACATGAATACCACACACAATTAGGGGCCGAATTTGGTTATTTTAAGTTGAAATGTGCCGGGAAAATCCTCTGAAAATTTCAGCTCCCCAACTCTCCTGGTCCTCTAGTTAGCGATTTTCGCGCCAGAAACCCTCACGAGACCATACGCGGGAACCACGCATGCCTGGGAGCTGAATTTGGAATCTATGAGTTGTATGGAGACTGGGGACATAACCTCAAAATTTTAACTTTCTAGCTTTTCTGGCTTCCAAGTTAGCGATTTTCCCGCCAAAACTTTCATCCCGTCATATGCGGGGCCCAGACTTGCGTGAGGGCTAATACCGCGGTCCTGGGGTAGCACTTCGCGGAGAAACCAACCAGCAA